CAAGTTGAAACTCTCTAGAGGCACTCAGTGTATTTGCTTTGGACAATTTATTGACATCGATCGTAATTAACACGTTGATTACAATGTTACAATCAAGTTCCACTTTGTTAAGTAATTAAATATTGGATGGCAAAATTAATTATAATTATTAATAATTAGCCGCCGCCACTGGAACATAGAAAACTCTACAACTGAACATCAACGAAACTTTAGATTAAATTTCAATCTTTGCATGCATATAGTAATATGTCTTGTGTGCCTGTAAACATATGTACAGAGTTTAAAACCAAATTTCGGGATAATTTAGATGGAGAAACAACATACTTCAGTGTTTGGTCGAATTCGTGAATACAATATCAATCTTAATCGCATGCCGTAATATAATACTACTTTGTAAACAGTTTCGGGTTTCCTCGGAAATCCTGTGTGAATCTTTACAAAGGATATTATTATGTATGTTATACCAAACAATTTAAAATTGAATGATTTTACAAAAAAAAAATATTAATTTATTATTCAAATAAGTCGTTAATAGTAATTTTTAAGAAATCATACATTTTGAATATTAGAGCTTCACGGAGGTTAGGATTTCGTATGTTTTTTTTAAAACATCCCTTTGTATATTTGAAATAAGTTATTGTATCTTTTGACACCTTAATATTTTTAAAAAATACAATTGTACATACATAAAATATTTATAAAAAAATCTACTTACTGAGATATTATACTTCACGGTGGATAGGTTTTTAAATAGCAAATTAATGAACTTTTTCATTATAAAACATCATTCTAACTGACCTTCAGGTATCACATGCATCTATAATGTCGTAAACAGAGGTTTTTGCTTATTCAAAATGATTAAAGCGCCATCCGTTGCATAAAATTTAAAGTAAAACAGATTCACGGAGGATAGAATCAATTTTTGTAACACCTACATAAATGGTTATAAAAATAATTTTTTTAAATTTTTAATAAAATTTTATTTTTGATTCGATTGCTTTGGATGTGTTTAATTTACTTAGTGAACTGATATTTTTGGTATGCTTTTACTACCTCAGATATTTGAAAACATATAGGTTAACCTAGAAAAAGTAACAGTCACGGAGGATAGGTTTTAGACTTTTTACACATTGTGAAAAGTAATTAATTGCGGTTAAAAATCTGGAATCTTAGCTGTAATATCTACTTAATTCACCCATGTTTAACTTATGATAATTTAGATAAAATATTAATTACACGAGGGGCCATATCTTAATTAATTGCAATTAGTTGTTATACTGTTTGTCTTGTGTATCGAGCAATTATGCTAATAGTGGAATGCACGGTGATAATTTATAGAAACAATACTCAAGTAAATTAGAAAGGCTATTAAACCAATGCAGGCTCATAAATCCAAACATAGTTTTAAAGCTTTCGACTGCCAATATAAAACCAAACTTACTAGTCCTATGTAAATGGGTCAATCCATATCAAATCAACCATTGGCAATTTAAAAAAATATATAAAATTCTCATTTACTATAATGAAGCATGTTGAGCTTTTATCAAAAAAATGTTCATCCAACAAAGTAATAGTTGTTATCATATTGCCATGGCAATAAGAAATACTTATGTTTATATTAAATCTTTGTCGAACTTAAAATGTTTGTTAAATCTATAGTTGTGTATGAATTGCGTTTACATAAAGTAATGCGCAGTTGTTATAGTAAAATTTGTTCATTTTACTATGGCATATTTGTCTTTTTTAAATTACTATTGTTGTAATTCAAATTAATTTTATTTCAGTTAGAAAATCTTTGTTTTAATAGCTTACGTTAAGAACAATAACAAAAATAAAACTTTTTGTTATTTCCCTTAAAAAGAGGGGAAAGGGCCAGCGCTCTCCTTGGTGAACATAACTTTATAATCCACAGTCTGTGTTATAATCTTATTGATTTTACTTGTGCGAGTGAAGTGTGGTAAAATCTAGCGTGATAAAAATATCAAAAAGATCACCAAGAAAATTAAAATTTTGACGTTTTGTAAAATAAATATTTAAGGTCTATTCTATAAACGAAGCAGACTTGTTGTTTAAAAAGTGAGTTTATATTTTTTTTGTACATCATATAATATGTTAATTTGTTTGTTATAATAAATAATTTGTTTTAATGCCTTGCAATTATTTAAAAAAAACTACCCCATACCCAACAGTAGGTTGAAAATGTGACTATTGTTACAATGAAAATAGTTTATTGAATTATCTAATTTATTAATTTTATAATTAAATCAAAGTGTTATTATTAAAGTTATTAAATAACTTTTTCTCCTTTTAAAATGTCTTGGCAATCTAAAAAATTAGGTACTAGAAAATAGTTTACCATATTGACCCACTAAATTCAATCTAAAACTTTTATAATAAAAAGTTCAGGTACCTATAACATATTATGTAAAATACCTCTCAAAATTCATACAAACATTTGTGTTCGCACCAAATGAGAAACCAAAAAAGTCCATTATGCAGCTCTATTCATATGCTAATAACTGCGTGTTGAGGTAAAAGTTGGCAAACTGTCTTCTTATTATCTTGTTAACTTGGTGCACCGAAAGCTGCTGCTAAGTCTTGGGACAGCTTTCCGGAAATTTACTCCCAAAACTTGATTCTAATGCCTTTGTATGATAATCGTTTTAAACTTGCCGCCCCGCACCTTAGGTATATTAAGCATAAAAATACATTTATCTCCACGCGGTCTATAATAATAATAATTTATTTATAATAAGCACTAATTTTTTGTTTTACTGTTAATGTTTAATATTTTTATTAAATTATTGTAAAATTAAATATGAATAATAAAACAAAAAGTGAGGTTAGGCAACCAAGAAAACGCACGATTCTTTTTCTACGATTTAAATTATCTTTAAGTTTTAATTTGCTTTAAGTTTTCAGTGAAATTAAATGTAAAACACAGCTTAAACATTCCAAACTATCTATTTTTAAATAAAAATCCAAACAAATTGAAATTAGATACCTACCTATTTATTAAACAATTCGTCCCCAAATTCACGAAGTGGCGTATATGAAGATTTAAGTTACACAAAAAAGCAATTTTCTGAAATAAAATTAGCATTTTAAACGTTTATTCCAGAAATTGTTTTTTTTTCATAACACAAAACATCAAACACCCGTATCGGAAGATTTGTGTTATGCAAAAAAGTAAATTTCTGGAATAAGTGTTTAGTATGCTAAACTTTTATTTTAAAAAATTGCTTTTTTGCATAACTTAAATCTTCATATACGCCAATTCGTGAATTTGGTGACGAATTAATTGAATTCAATGTAATAGCAACAATCCATTTCTACATAAATTAAGTAGCTTCTAAAAGCAATAATAATTATTGTACATTTAATGTAATCCTAAGCTAATAAATAAATGAGATTCTAAAAAAGTGAGGTTAGGCCGCTTTGATGTTGAATTAAATTGACCTATATAAAGTGCTTTGAAGATAAAATGTTGTATGCAATTCGGCCAAGAAGTGCCTTTTTGTGCTTCGCTCAATTGTAGGCCTCCGCTACGCGTCGGTCTTCAAACCTTGAGCTTGGCACAAAAAGCCTTACTTCTTAACCTAATGACATAAATATCTATTAATTAAGATTTTTCAAAACACATTTTAGAATGTGTGTACAATTTTTTTATGCGTAAAGTGGTTATAATAAGGGGGTTTGGCTTTTGTGTGCCATTTTCGGGATACCCAGTATATATGTAATACATGTGACTCCAAAATAAATTTACAACAGTTTTAATAATCCCAGAAAATTATTAATTAATTAATTTTTTTAAATAAGAAAATTACTAAAACCAGAAAACCTTTAATGTATATAAATATTTCAAGAATTATTAATATGTTAATACACAAAAAATTAAAACTGCTAAAACCATTTTAAATTTAAAAAAATAAAACAATGTCAAAATAATATTGCAAAATCATAGATAATATGAGTTTTTAAAGTGTTACAAGAAGATATTTCAAAAGAGGTTTTTTGTGAACTAATAGTGTCCCCCCTCAGGGTATTTTCACGAAACCTTACCCCACCTTGACAAAAAATCAGATGTGTTATTTAACAATATTTTAGAAAATAAAGTATACAATATTTGTTCATTTAAAATACGTGCTTGTTTAAGGTTACTATTCAAGTTTTAAACAAAAAATTATTACTATAATATATATATAATAGCATATTATGCTTTCATTCAAAATTTTACAGTATCAACTTTAGAAGCCAACTTGGTCGCATTTGCCGAGTTTTTAAGTTTTTATTGACATTTTGTTAAACACCTAATTTTTTATACTATTTTTTTATATTAACGTATCTTGATATATAGGAACAAACACTTTATTATCATGAAAAAACGCAGTTTTAGTGTCGCACCCGTTACAATGGAAATACCCTTCACTATTAGTTTACCAAAATTTCACTAAAAAATTTTAAACCGTATATTAAAACTTGTAGGCATTTGTGGAGATCATTAATAAACAATATAAATAACAAGGGACCCAGAGTACTACCCTGAGGTATTCCAATTCCTTATTAATCTTAATATAAAATTTTCTATTGGACACATATGATATCATGAATTTCGTATAGTTGATAAATAAATTAAAATTATTGTTTAGTATTTTATAATTTAATAAATCATAACTCCTTGTAACACTTTAAAAAACTCACAAAACAGTTGTATATTTTATAATCAATTGTTTCAATTTGGGTATTATAAACACAAATTTAATCTTAAATTAGACCTAAATCGTACCTTAAACTGGAGCTATATTAACCCCTATTAAACAAAAAGGCATAACATTAAACCTGTACTATAAAACCCATAAAAGACTGCGCCATACATTGTACGTAGTAAAATGCAGTATACACATAACCTAACAAGTAACTACCGACCAAAATCTCATCGATTCCCGCCAAAACTCGACACTACCTCGCTAATAGCAAACTTAAAAGACATATTCACTTACCGAGAGGTATTTTCTCGCCAGTGCCGCGTACAAGGTGAAAAAAAGTGGTCAAAATTGCCGCAAGGAGAGGACGCATTCTTCTCGGTGACGGCCTCATGGCGGTCGGTTCAGCTTCAGCTTCAGCTTCGCACACAGCCGCAGCCTCTGGACCGAAATCTCGACAACAAAGCGACGCCCGACAACGACGCGCATGCGCGTTGGAAGCTGAAAGTCCCTTACGCCGCGCGTTCTCCGGATTAAAATTACCAAGTGGGAAAGTTTTAGGGAAAAAAATTGATTTTTTCTACTACCTTACTAGAAAACTTTTTTTTTAACAATTTTACATTATCAAGAGTTTTTGTATCTTGTCAAGTCCTATTTGATTTTGTAGGAAAAAGATTTACTCCGCGCTTGTCCAACCATTCTTTTAACAAACTATAGGTATTCATTTTCATATCGCTCTTTCGATTTTTAAGGAAGGAAATTAATTGCAACTATTCTTGTCTGTTTAGCAAGATCTTCTTCGCTAGAACTCATTTTCAAAACGTAGGAAGAAATTCAAATTTATGATAAACATTCTGACAGCTTATAAAAACTGTTATGTTGTTATTACCAAAAATACCCTAGCAACAAAGCGTTGTCAACATAACGTCGGCGACGCAACACCTACTTAATATTTTGTCATGATTTTATAGCCCTATACCGGGTTAGTAAAAGGAACCGGAACGCTTAAAATGTCTTAAAACTGTTAAAAGGTAATAGAAAAAACTATATATATTTAATGCCCTTCGCTTCGCGTCAGGCATCAAACTATTCGCGGGAGGAAAAGCACTATTTTCCTCCCATGGTATGTAAATGGCTAACTGATTGTTGTCAATTCTTTTATAATATGCTATTTTAGAGTAAGTCTTCAAAGTCATTTTAGTAAAATAATAGGTACTTGATACTATTAATCCTATATTACTGCTATAAAAAGTTAAAGGAATCTATAAATGGTAAAAAATCGGATATATTAAGAGTAACATTGGGAGTACCTCAAGGATCGATATTGGGGCCACTTTTATTTTTAATATTTGTACATGATTTAAATTAAAATATATACAAACCATATAATTCAAAATTTCTTTCTCAGATTCCTCATCCCTTTTCTGGATTCTGAAGGTAACTACTAATTCCTTGGTCTGACTTCTGAAATAGTTTGTTGCAAATATCATATCAGTTGGTATCTCTACTTTGTGAAGCATTTATAATGTTTAGGCCGGAACAGGATGATTTATATACATCTAATATTTTTTCGGGTGGTATGTTAAAAGTATTTTCCGAATTTATTAATTTTGTTGCCATTAGTTTTTTATGATCTCTATCATGCACTGTATTTAAATCACTGTTATTCTGCAAGATGTCCTGTGACGAAAAATCACTATATTACTTACTCTCTAAAAATGAATTAGTCAAGTACATTTAGCAGTCAATTCCTATGAAATATTATTCGTAATTGGACACTGGCCATTTAACTGTTTGTTTTCAGAATTAAAATTAAAACGCATTAAAGTGACAATGAATAAACCATGAGGAACACATTTATACCACACACTGATCTGTACACTTTTTAGAAATATTTTTTATTGTAACTTTTGGGTACTTGAATAAAAGTTAACAAAATTCTTTTATTTATATGGGAATTAAATGTTACATTGAACCTTATGGTACAAATTATATATGAACTTCCTAAAAATCTTATAATAATATTGTAAATACTAAGCCTAAAAATATTACAGAATTATACTTTTTAATATTGACAGTGTATAATATACTTCACAGGTCACAAGTTCTATTTTTAGAAAAATAATAATATTTTTGCATAAAAACTTTAGTTTTTATCTAGTCATGCAAAATCTCATCTCTTATATAAATCTCAGGATTTTCCTCTAAACCTACTTCAAAAGTAACTGTCAATCTTTCGGCAAAGCGCTGTCGCTCTTCCCTCTAACGTACAGCCTCAAATTGCTGGTCCTGCCTCCCAACATCCTCTCCAGCAGGGAGTGCTTGGACTTCCTCCTGGCCGCCAAGACCGCCCGACACAGCTCCTGGTACACCACCGCCACCGGCGCCACCTGTTCGGCAGCGGCCACCTCCGAAAACCCGCATTCCAGATCTCGCGCCAGTAGAGCTCCATCTTCGGTACTCACTTCTCTTAGGTGCACCATGTCGTTCTTGTTGGCCACCACGTAGACCGGAATGTCCGATTCGGAGATGATTTTGCTAAAACGTTTCAGGTAGGTGAAGGATTTTTTGTCGATCATCGAGTAGACTAGGAGGAGGCCATCGGCCCAGTTGATTGTGTCTGAAGATGGTAAGTCGTCGAATTTCTAAAAAAGAACATATTTTCAATATTTAGTTTCCTTGAAGAGAAGCTCTGGATTGGCCGGCAAGATATACAGATTTGAATCCCTTATGTGGGGTCATTTAAGAAGTAAAAGTCTGCTTCGTTTATAGAATAGACCTTAAATATTTCTTTTAGAAAACGTCGAAATTTTAATTTTTTTTGCGATCTTTTTGATATTTTTATCATGCTAGATTTTACCACACTTCACTCGAACAAGTGAAATCAATAAGATTATAACACAGACTGTGAATTATAAAGTTATGTTCACCAAGGAGAGCGCTGGCCCTTTCCCCCTTTTCAAGGGAAATAACAAAAATTGTTACCATTGCAAAGCAATAGTAAATATTAAAAAAGTCTTTTTATAGCAATAATATATTTTTGTTATTGTTCTTAACGTAAGCTATTAACAACTGAAATAAAATTCATTTGAATTACAACGATAGTAATTTAAAAAAAACAAATATGCCAAAGTAATTACTTTATGTAAGCGCAATTAACACACAACATTATAGTAAATGAGAATTTTATTAACAGTAAAAAAAGTATGATATAAATGTATAATATTTTTTATATTGTTGTCAACATTCGATAAAGAAATACTTTGTTATGGCCTAGGCCGATAAAAATTTTTATGAGGCAAGTAATTAGTTCGATTTTTTCTCGCTATGGGTATTGTTTTGACAAATTAATCATTTTCTAAGATATTAACGTACTAAACTGGTTTAATTTATTTATAATAAGCACTCATTTGTTTGTTTTACTGTTAATGTTTAATATTTTTCATTAAATTATTGTAAAATTAAATATGAATAATAAAACAAAAAGTGAGGTTAGGCAACCAAGAAAACGCACGATTCTTTTTCTACGATTTAAATTATTTTTAAGTTGTAATTTGCTTTAAGTTTTCAGTGAAATTAAATTTAATTTCACTGAAAACTTTATGTTAAACAGAGCTTAAACATTCCAAACTACCTATTTTTTAAATAAAAATCCAAACAAATTGAAATTAGATACCTACCTATTTATTAAACAATTAATTAAATTCAATGTAATAGCAAAAATCCATTTATATTTAAATCATGTTGCTAGGTATTGTCAAACTATTACTGCTTCTAAAAGCAATAATAATTATTGTACATTTAATGTAATCTTTAGGTAATAAATAAATAAGATTCTAAAAAAGTGAGGTTAGGCCGCTTTGATGTTGAATTAAATTGACGTATATAAAGGGCTTTGAAGATAAAATGTTGTATGCCATTCGGCCAAGAAGTGCCTTTTTGTGCTTCGCTTCAAACCTTGAGCTTAGCACAAAAAGCCTTACTTCTTAACCTAATGACATAAATAACTATTATGTTATGTTTTCAAACATAAGATGTGTGTTCATGAAAACTGTGTTATTTTAAAATCAATGTGGGTAAAATCTATAGATTTTTTTTATAAATATACTTAAAACAATACGTTTGGAATTTAGATCAAGGCTTGCAGCCAATTTTTTTGTTTACTACGATATTATTGTCTAGGTATGTATTTTTAAAAAGAAGCATATTTTGTCTTATCGGTCTTAAAACACCTAACATTATACCTTAATATAACGAATTTAAAAATAGAAATTACTTTTAATAAATAAATAAGCAATGTACACCCTAACGTCCTTGGTAATAACTGGCTCTCCAGAAATATCTTTAGGAAAGTGTAAGGTATTTTAATTAAAGTAATAAATTTGGCGCATCCAGTGTTTATAATTGCGTTATTTTGATAACAATTTTCCACACATTCATTCGCATAAACTTTGCTTCAAATAAAGTAAAGTCGAGCTCTTGTATTAGGGCGTTTCTCTGTAAACTGGGCAACTTGAAGTAAGAAATTGTCTAGGCAAGTTTTTTTGTTATATTTTTGTTGTATTTAATAAATGTTATTCGAGGAATAAATATCGGTCTATTTATTAGTATACGGCAGATGAACCAAAAATATTCCTATTACTTTGGAAAACATTGAGCATTTTCTGAAAAATCTATACAGGGGACTGTTTATAAAATCCAGAGACAAAGTTTAGATGACTTTTTTAGAATTACAAAATAATAATTATAAAAAATAAATAAGTTACAGTAACAAGCAAACAATATTGGTTGAATAATTAAACAATTAGGTTGATTCCAATAGTTACTGTCTTTAATTAATTTAGTCTGAAGTGACCATTTTGCTTTGGTGACACGTCAGGGGACTGGTTTTTAAGGACTATAAAAACGATTTTGATACACTAAAGTTTATTTTATTGGATTTTGAACGTCGAGCATAGGTAGATTAGGTTATTATCTTTTGAAGTTATCTACGAAATATTTATGATCTGTTATTTTTCTAAACAATATTAGCTTGAGACAATGAGTTGCCCAGTTTACAGAGAAACGCCCATTAATGGAATTTTGTAATAACAAACGTTGTACTTATTTGAATGGTGTTTTGAGGAAAAACAAAAATGTTTTGCCAAAAATATCATAATAAACATGTTTTACAAATTTGCGACAAATATACCGTGAGCAATTTTAAGTGTTTAATTTTTTTGCTACACCCTGTACATTCGGAAAAACAAGTAGTTGCATTTATTTCAGCTTTAAAAGACCTTTTAAATGATATGTAACATGACCCACTTTGTATTTTTTTATGTGACTTTTTGTTTTGTTTTTTAATGTCACATGACCCCACCCTATTAAATTAAATAATTTAAAAATTGATAGGTTTTTGACCAGGAAACAGCATCTATAAATATTTTTGTTAAATTTGAGTAGAAACAAATTGTTTTATTAGTTTTTCCTCAATTAACTAAATAAATCTGACAGTATATCGATGAAATAAACCTGTTTTATTGTACAAATATTTAACTGGATATAAACAAAATTATTTCCTGTGAACATTAAAAAATGCATATAAAATAAAAGTTTATTTTATTGCCTGGCCTCCACGAAGCCCTGATTTAACCCCGCTGGACTTTTTCTTACGGACAAAGTTTCCATGTTTTTTGAAATTTACGTTCTTCCCTGATAGCACACTTTATTCTAAGAATGTTTTTTAAACCTTCCAGTGAGAATATTCTTAGGATCAGGCTATATTTCTTCTAAAGAACATGCTTAAAAGACATATAGCATGATCCTAAGAATATTCTCACTGGCCTATAGGCAGGTTCTTAGAAGGTGCAAAGTTTAGTGGTAAAAATTAGTCCACTCTAAACATATGCTTAGAATGTTAAGAAAGTAATTGCTATAGAAAGTTCATTTAGGAATATTCCTGTTAAGCATATTTAGTTCAGTTACCTGTATAATAGTAAAATATACCATAAACTATGTATAAACGTATATACCTATACTTAAGTACCTAATTATTAATTAGTATTAAATACTAAGTAAAAAACACAATCCAAAATATTTTTTATAGTTATTTGTCAAATTAAAACAATATTCGATAACAAAAATACTTTTACTTTAGGTATTTTATTTTATGTTAAAAATAAATATTTATTAATTTGTATACCGATTTTTTATTTCTAAATTAAAATTTTTATGTATAACAATCCTAACTATCTTCAACCTCAATCTAATCTGACTTATCCCACAAAATTTTCCAATTTTACTTTTTATGAAATAATGCCATACAACTTATGGTTTAGAGGTCAACTTGTTTACTTAATATTATATAATATAATATAAATATATATTAATGTGTCGCAAAATTTTTTAAGGGGACGACAAATACATACTGTCATATTATGACAGTGAGGCGTATTTGTCGTCTCCTGAAGAATTTTACGAATGTAGAATACAACTAGAATTAGAACGTGGGTATCTGACATATTTGGAAATATTCTCAAAAACTTCCTAGAAGCTCCATAAGAAACCTAAGAACATTCCAAAAACGTATTCTTAAAATTTTCCTAGGATGCTTTTTAGGAAGGTTTTAAGAAGATTTTAAGAATCTAATTGCATCATTAAAAGGGTATCTATTGAATGTTTTAAAAGTCCCTAAGAACATTCTTAGCAATAAGAAGAATATTTCATTATTCCGGGTCATATCTTCTTAGAAGATTCTTAAAATCAAATTTTGCTATCAGGGTTATTGTTTTGTTGTTTACTGTTATGCCAAATTGTGTCATTTTTGAACGCTTATATCTGCATTTTGGCACAATGGTTAGAAATTTTTGAATCACCCTGTATTATAGAAAAAATACGTTTTTTGATTTATGTAGGTATACTAAAAACATACTTTCTTTAGATAGGTAAATTATAAATAAAAATATTATTAATGATATTTTATATGCGAATTATATTAATTTTAAAAATTATTTACTTAAAACATATTAACTATGTTTTAGAGTAAATAAATGCGTGCAATATGTTTAAAATTAAAACATTTTAGATGCGAATTGTAAATGCTTGGGCCATCTATGGGACATTATTAAAACTAACGTTAAGGACTGCAGAAAACATTTTTAAAAAAATATTGGTTGAGTTTTTATAGTTTATTTATTGTGCCTTTTTTAAATAATAAAGGTACATTATTTTAAACAATTTTCTGAAATTCCTCAGTGTCTGTAGATCAATCAACAAATTGTCAAAAAAAAGGAAAAAACTGGCAAAACACCAAACACATTCCGCATACCTGTTAAAAGGTGTTAAATGCCAAAAGCACATAATATTTAGGTTTGCCAGAAAATAAACACCGTGAAAATAGTAAATTATACATGATGCTACATACCTTTGGGCATGTGTCTAGTATCTCGTAGAGTACGGGTTCATTGTCCACTAAAACTTCATGTTTGTATCTGGTCTCTGAAAACAAACAAAAGTTCCCAATTATGCAACTGCTAAATTGTTTTGAATGTTTTGGAATTGGAATTGGGGTATTGTAAATTATTTGCTAAGTATTTCCTAGAGAATAAGTATGCTAATCGATTGGTTAACCCAAATAATTTAAGATATTTTGTGATGAAATATACAAATAAGTGATGTCTAAAATTAAAATTAGATTAAAACGAATAAGTATACAGTTAAGACTTATATCACCAGCTAATATTTTAACAAAAAAATTTAAAGCATATTTTATTTGACAAATTACCTTTTCTCCTACGGCTAGCTTTGCAAAACACCCACAAATGTCTAGACCGATTTCTTGTACTTTTAATATGTAAAATTTTGATTAACTATTTTTGCATTATTTCTTATCTGTTTTACTGCTTTTTTAAACATATAAAAAAATAAGATTAATTTACTACCAATGCAGAAAAAAATGTGAATTTAAAAAATATATTTAAAATCTAATTTTAACTATATATAATCATGTAAAATGTTCCATCTCTAACAATGATTTATTGAACATTCATCGGCATTTTAAAAATAACAATTTACATGTAACAAATTGTTCAAATTCGATTTTACTGCATAAATATGTCAATATGTCAAATATGTCAAATTGCTGTTGACGAGAATTATTAGTGGCTGCTTTTTCGCTATGACATTTTTGACTAATTCATTTTTAGAGAGTAAGTAATGTAGTGATTTCTTCGTCACAGGACATCTTGCAGAATAACAGTGATTTAAATACAGTGCATGATAGAGAACATAAAAAACTAATGGCAACAAAATTAATAAATTTGAAAAATAATTTTAACATACCACCCAAAAAAATATTAGCAATTTATCTTTAAAAAATATTTAACAATTTATGTTATTTGATGTTGTTGTGTTTATATAAAAATAGTATGTCCAATAACTATGGTCCATGTGTCCAATTACTATATAAATTGTCCAATTACTATACTTTTTTGCATGTTTTTATAAATCTATTATTAAAAATTCAAATATTCTTAAAACAACGGCATATATAAATTTTAAATAAATAATATTTCTTAACTGTCCAATAATTATGTGGTTTATGTATAAATTATTATACGAATGGTAATAATAATAGAATAGTTTATTACCTGACTGATGATCATATTCCCCAATGTAACGTCGCGTTAAAAACCTGACTGACAAGGCTAAAACAAAAATAATTAGCTGTTAATATATAAGTAAATAATTAAAAAATATTAATGTGACATCCAAAACAACTAAACTAAAGCAATTTATCACATAAAATAATGTATTGTTTCTTAACAAATTGGAACTGATTATAATAATTTATTATGTTTTCACATTCTCGACAGAAAAGTCAAGTGTTACTCAATACTTAAATAAATAAAACTTTTAAAACGAAAAAACTCGTGTAATTCTTTATTGCTAACAACTGGTTTCTCAGTTTTTAGTAATGAATTATGATGGCATTACTTGGACGATTGTCAAAAGTTTTGGAGTATTTTTAAAAGAAAAATCACACAATATTAAAGGGACACCTAAACTTGCAACAGGTGAAATAAAATGTTTAGTTTTCTTAAATAGAATATTATGTATACGAGGTGTGTTCAGAAAATATCGGGAATTTTCGTTTTTTGAAACAAATATTTATTTATTCGTCTACATTAATGTTGTCGCCTTCAAAATAGTCCCCATTGGATATTATGCACATTGCCAGCTCTACTTCCAATACTCGAAACACTTCTAAAACTCGATCTTTGGGATAGCCTTTAGTTCTTTCAGCGATGCGCTTTTAATGTCATCTATGCTTGCAAAACGACGGCCCTTTAAGGTTCTCTTTATTTTTGGGAATAGGAAAAAGTCAGACAGAGGCATGTCTGGCGAATATGGAGGCTGGGGCATCATTACAGTATTGTTTTTGGCCAAAAATTTTGTTCAGAATTTAACTATTTTAGAACAAATTTTGCTGGCACGCGTTTCATACCCACAACATTCGAAAAAATTTCATGGGATGAGCCGAACGATATACCAACATCATCAGCGACTTCTCTGATGGTTTATAACCATTTCTTCCACTTTTTCCATGTTTTTATCGGTTGTTAATGTGCTTGTGCGTTCGGGGCGTTCGTCATCTTCAACGTCTTCACGGCCATCTTGGAAACTCTTATACCACTTGTAAACTCTTGTTTTACTTATAGCAGACTCACTATAGGCCTTTGTTAACATTTCACAGAATTTATTTCATTTTAAAGTAAAATTGGATACAAATTCTTTGATCCATTTCTTTTAACGAACGAAAAATCGCCGAGCTCATAAAACATGTCTAACCTTAGCGGCTGCCACAGACAAAGTAAAAGTTATCATACTTTGAGGGCATGTATACCAACATAATAAAGAAAATTTTATGACAACCGGACCCTTCGAACTCGCGAAATTTAACAATTCCCGTTATTTTCTGAACACACCTCGTACATATTAAACTTGATATATCAAGTACAAGGATGTAAATTTAGTGCCATAAAAAATCTTTTGAAATTTTCGTAACTGCGTTAATAAAACTTTCATGCAACAATAAACAAAATATCACATGAAAAAAGCGTTTGTGTTACAGCCAAATTTAATCTAATAAATGTATCTTTGGCTTAAAATAGACAAATTTTGGCAATATGGGTATTTATTTAAAGTTATTTATTAATTGAATGTATTTTGAGACAAGTTGGATAAATACGTACATTAATTTGATTTTTTGATATTTTTTTAAATCACTACATGATTTTTACTTGTTTTTTTTTAATTTATGGCTATTATACTTTGGCATTATTTTTTATAGTGATTGAGTAAAACTTTGCCAAAATATGTGTAAATATCGTAAATATTGGGTTTTAAGTCTCAACTACATTTTTTAACTTTACGTAGGTATATTCATTTATAGTTATTTTGTATACAGGGGGTCCAAACAAAACCTTTTTTAATTTGAAAATCATTAAAAAAAACGTTCAAATAATATTAACTTTATGACTTAAACTCTTATTATAAAAATTTGAGTTTAGTGAGAGATCTATTTCACCATTCATGATCTATCTTTCATTTCGCACATTAAAGTTTGTACACATGTAAATTTTATTTATTTTTTCACATAAAGAAACAACATTTTAAATTGATAATAACATAAAATTATGTTTATTTAGTAAATCAAAATTTTTATGATTTCTTGCTAAAAATAAATTTTATTTTCAATAAAGTTTAACTTTATTGATGGCAATGTGTCCTTCATACTGATATCTAAACACACTAAAATGTAAAATTATAAAAAATTTACCCGAACATCGTTCATATTAACATGAGATAAACTTTGTAATAAAATATTCTTAAAGTAATGTAAAGAAAATATTATTAATGCCAAAACGTTGGTTAAGTTAATTTAAAATACTCCCACATAGATATTTTTTATGAAATAGTTGTCAGTTAAACAATCACGAAAATAAACTTAAAATAACTATTAAATCTATGCTGTTTGTAAGAAATATGATATATTAATAATTAACAAATGGAATATTGTAACACGTCGTTTTACCTCGGACCATTCCCTTCACTTTAAAATGCCACGTAGTGGGTAGTTTACATCTTTGCTGATTTGTGCTCTGTTTGTGCTTTTGCATCATTTTTCATATAATAAGAAAATTTGTATTGCGTACGAGGTGTGTTCAGAAAATATCGGGAATTTTCGTTTTTTGAAACAAATATTTATTTATTTGTCTACATTAATGTTGTCGCCTTCAAAATAGTCCCCATTGGATATTATGCACATGTGCCAGGTCTTCCTCCAATACTCGAAACTCTTCTAAACTCGATCTTTGGGATAGCCTTTAGTTCTTTTAGCGATGCGCTTTTAATGTCATCTATGCTTGCAAAACGACGGCCCTTTAAGGTTCTCTTTATTTTTGGGAATAGGAAATAGTCAGACAGAGGCTTGTCTGGCGAATATGGAGGCTGGGGAATCATTACAGTATTGGTTTTGGCCAAAAATTTTGTTCAAAATTTAACAATTTTAGAACAAATTTTGCTGCCACGCGTTTCATACCCAAAACGTTCGAAAAAATTTCATGGAATGAGCCATTGATATACCAACATCATCAGCGACTTCTCTGATGGTTTATAACCATTTCTTCCACTTTTCCATGTTTTATCGGTTGTTAATGCGTTTGTGCGTTCGGGGGGTTCGTCATCTTCAACGTCTCCACGGCCATCTTGGAAACTCTTATACCACTTGTAAACTCTTGTTTTACTTATAGCATACTCACTATAGGCCTTTGTTAACATTTCACAGAATTTATTTCATTTTTTAAGCAAAATTGGATACAAATTCTTTGATCCACTTCTTTTAACGAACGAAAAATCGCCGAGCTCATAAAACACGTCTAACCTTAGCGGCTGCCACAGACAAAGTAAACAATGAAAACAGCTAAAGTTTTTATCATACTTCGGGGGCATGTATACCAACATAATAAAGAAAATTTTATGACAACCGGACCCTCCGAACCCGCGAAATTTAACAATTCCCGTTATTTTCTGAACACACCTCGTATATACTTCGCTTTCTTAAAAAAATCATCTTAAAAACAAGTATTTTATTTTAAAAATCACCCAAACTAAAGCACATTTTATATCAAAATATCGTCGTCAACCTCACAAAGTGATTTATAATTTTAGAGGAGAAGATTTTTATAATTTTACTGGAGAAAATTTTTGCAATATTCAGGTTATTGATATTAATAATTACTTATACAATACTAAAATAAATGCACTTTAACAATACCACAAACTTATAAACAACCTGATAAGTTGCCAAAGGTTGTAAACCAATGTTTACCTGATTACGATTAAATTAACGAAAATTTCTTAATGATAACTTAAACACGCATTACACCATTAATTCCATTAAAACGCTTTTTCACAATGACGGTTAATTTTAGAAGCCCTAGACCTATTAACACATTTTTCTGGACGTTTTATAGGTGGCGTCGGCAATCGAAAAAATGATCCGCAAAACACACTTGAACCTTTTGTAAATCAATTAGTATGTGGTAAGTTTATTTTTGGTGGCCCGGTGTGTAGCCCATCAACTGTTTTAAAGTTGAATAATGCGTTTTGAAGAGGCCGCACAGTGATACAATATTGAATATTGTAATGAACAAAAATGACAAAATCAACAATGGAAATTATTAATTGGCGTTTTTATTAATTGTTGAATATGTCGTTTTTGTAATGAAGGTAAACTTAAACAAAATCTGGTAACTATGACAGAATCTAGTGCATTCCTTTCAAATTGTAGGTTATGGGCCCAAATTGTAAATATCTTAACTAAGGGAAGTGCTTTTGGATTTATTTATTTATTTACACAAATTACTGTTGGTTGCAACACTAAACGTCACGACAGTTTGTTGAGAAATCAAACTGACCCTACTCTTGTTTCCTCCACAAGTTTGTTTATTTTTACATTCAAAATAGAAAAAGTTTACTTAAGTTCGAGGACTTAACGTTTTCATTGTTGGGTGTAGAATTTGATGGGTAAATTGTACCTTAAGTAACACTTTTTTCGAGGATTAAGAATTAATTGATAATGCTGAATTTACAAAAAAAAATTATAAGTTTATAAGCTTCACGGTAGATATCTTCACGGAGGTTAGGATTTCGTATGTTTTTGGTATATTTGAAATAAGTTATTGTATGTTTTGGCACCTTAATATTAAAAAAAATACAAATGTACATACATATTTATACAAAAAATCTACTTACTGAGATATTACACTTCACGGTGGATAGGTTTTTAAATAGCAAATTAATGAACTTAAACGTTTGAATTATAAAACAGCAACACTCTCATCTGCATATAAATTCTAACTGACCTTCAGAAATCACATGCATCTATGATGTCGTAAACAGAGGTTTTTGCTTATTTAAAATGATTAAAGCGCCATCCGTTGCGTAAAATTTAAAGTAAAAACAGATTCACGGAGGATAGAATCAATTTTAGTACCACCTACATAAATGGTTATAAAAATTATTTCTTCATATTTTTAATATAAAGAAAATTAAATTTATAGGTTATGAACATTTTTCTTTCACCTGATCTAGCATAACTAAATCTAGTTACCTACCACTTTTTCCGACTCCGGGAGCCCCAATCACAGCCACCTTGACTTCCGACAAAGACGATTTCTTCCTCCTCATACCTTTGGCGTTCATTGTCTTCAACTTAAGACTTCTCAAAAACACGCGCACACTACTTTAAGTGCTGGTTAACACGAGGCGTCGGCGTCTTTTTGCAAACTACCGATGTCTCTAGACGCAGACCGCGCCGTCTAAAAATACCTGGTGTCCGCACTTGCGAATTTTAAAATGTTAAATTGCGTACGGAAAAAGTTGTAAGACCAAATATACAAGGGTCTTTCCATCTCAAATAGAAATGGCAAAAAGGGCAAATTGACTATCAGAAAAAATAAAGTAATTTATAAACTTCTAGACATTCATTTCATTAAACACTCGCTCGCAAGTTTCAATTTCAATTTAAGAATTGTCAAAACATTAAAAGCATACGAACTGTACATAATTTTTAAATAAATAGGTAGTTTTTTCACAAAAGAGAGGAAGGCAGAAGTCTTACTCGAAAAATTTTGTTCAATTGCACAGCTTAATCGCGGTTTAGTACTCGATTTCGATTGATTATTCTTTATATCATTGATTAAGAAACTCAACGCTTAAATACTTATATAGTTACGTTAGTGTGTTTATTTTATCTAAGGGATCATGGCGAATTATTGTGTTTTTAATTGTAAATAAAATTCAAGAACTAAATCGTTGCATTTTCATGTTTTGCCAAAGGATCCAATTCGGTAAGTACATTTGTTGGTGCAGAATTAACTAATGATAACTTTACCTAATATAATTTATATTTAAGTTTGGACATTTTTAAGAAATTAGTAAAAAATAATTTGCACAAACATAACCTTAAAATCAACCATTTTTATATTTGAGTTCTCTAAAAAACGCCGACAACTACATTTTAAACAACAAAATATACCTACGAATTCATGGCAACATAATATTATATATAATACATAATATAATGGTATTTTACCGTTGAGTGGAGACTTTCTTAATCAACGCTTTTAATAATGCTAAATGCTGTTTAAATTTAGGCGACTTATTTGTTTGACGATTTTTACTGAATTGAAATGTTTACACTTTTCACGTTAATCACTACAAAAATGTGTATTTATTGTATCTAATAGATACAATTTATATTTACAGGGACTGTATGAAATTTATTTCTTCATTCGGAACACTGTTTATTGAAAAACTCAACCCAGGATTTCCTCTCAAAATACACCCAACAACACAACAAATCGTGCCACGGTTTTTTTTTCGATATTTTTTAACAATACTACTTTTGTAGCTACTAGCGATACTTCTTTAGCATATTATGAATGATCTGTAGTCTAATGTTGGAAGCAACTTGACAGGTTGTAAGTCATACTGATATAATTAACCCAAATACTGCAAACGATATTTATCATAACGATCGTTTAATTAAAGGCAATTATAATTGCTTAAAGATGCTTGGAATTGATAAATTTGACCAATTTTTCGCTTCAAAAATATGCCACTTGAATGTAAATATGATTTCTTTACTATAAAAAATAACCTACATTTTTTATTAGAAAATTTATTTATAAATCAAAATTATTTTGGGTTTTATTTGTTTTTTATCGACATTCAGCATTGTAAACATTTTGCAGACAGACATATTACAAAAATAAATAAAATTTTTACAAAAACAAACGTTAATATCTTAATATGCTTTCAGAAAACCTCAACAAGCAAAACCGACAATCTCCACTTTTGGTCAAAAATTAGATTGTACTTCAACTAATTATCTATATATTTAGCTCCTTTTGCAGCTCATAAACTTTATCATCTTAAAAGATGATAAAGTTTATGAGCTGCAAAAGGAGCTAAATCCTGCCTAAAATGACATTTAGTGCAAAGTCGACAATCTCCACTGATAGATTTGCAGCAAAGTATACAATCTTCAATTCCACCATTAGAAATTAGTAATTTGTGTCACCTGATATCCTAACATTTGATGTTATAACGTATTTTAGAGATTTAATTTTGTGGTTTTTTACTGGTACATACTGTTAAGTTCTATTGCAGTAAATGGCACTTAAAAATATATTTAAAATAGGTAGGTATATATACGTTTTATTGTTTTAAGAATTATAAAAAAAGTTATCTTGTTTATTTTGTGCTATTATACCATAATAAGACGTAAAGGTAAAGCAAGAAAAGGCTGATAATGTCAAAACATTGCAAGTAAAACATTACGGGGCAAAGTGGGAAGAAGATGATGAGTTGTTGTACTATAAAAACATTTTTGCACGAGGCAACCTGGTCCCAGATTTAGGAGAAACTCCAGATTTATGTGGTCCAGTTCAGAATTTTCCCACATTGATTGTGTAGTTAAATTTTATACCCATTAAAGGAATAAAAAAAAAGATTTTTTTGTTTATTTTTCTAAATCTCCTTAAACGTTTACAACAAAATGAGCAATCTCCAGCAATTCATATCAAAGTCAGCAATCTCCAATTTATAATTATAGATTTCACCTATTCTATGCATCCTGGAGACCTAGTAGTTGGCTACTAGACTAACAACAACAATATTTCAATATAATATATAAAAAAATTACAAAATCAATTATCTCAATTTACTCAGTTTTAGTCTGATGGGAGATTGTTGACTTTGCTCTGACAGGCCTCATTTAATCTAGGGAATTTTAGTCAACATTGTTAGTAAATAAAAAGTCATTCATTTTTGACATTTCATCAAAACTTTTCATTCATCCATCAATTACTTTTCTATGTGCATAAATGTCTGAGCAACCAGAAGAGACCGGTTCAAAAAAAGCGTCGAAAGAAACTCTTGGAAGCAAAAAAAGCACCAGCTCTAAAAAAGCCTCAGATGGCACCCTAAAAAGCACCAGTTCCAAAAAAGGTTCGCAAGACACAATAACGAGCAAAAAAAGCACCAAATCGACCGAAGAAGAAAACGAGACAAAAGAAAAAGTACCATGCACGTGGGAGGAGAACTTTTGCCTCAAAAACCAACCTGAATCAACCGTGGAAAACTTCACCAGACATTTCTGTTGCCATCACGATAAGACCATGAACATGCTGAAAGACATAAAGGAAGAAACCGCCAACAACAAAGAAGCAGATGATATTTTCTACAAGTACGAACGTTGCAACGACGCTTACAACATGGTGCAGTTCCTTACCTTCATGTATTCGGAAAACTCTCAGTTCAGATCGTTGGTGACAGCATTCAACGACAGCTCCAAACGAGATCCAAACACCATACTTGACGCCTTGGTCATACCAGAACCACCTAAAGAAAAAGTAAACTCCATCAAGTGTTTTAACAATGAGAACTTGTTTAACGTTGTAGCAGATCAAGCAGAAGTCAAGCCGCCCAGAAGTTCAACTATGAAGGAGTGCGTATTACCCACACCAACCCCGGGAACTAGAAGCCCCGAGTGCGATAATGAAGCTTGCTCCACACCCGTGCCATTGGAAAACCCTTTTCAAGTTTTTTGCGAAAACACAGACTGCGACAAAAACAAGAAACCTAAAAAGAAGTGCCGCATATTCCTATCGGATTCCGTCGAGTCCATAAAGGAAGAAAAGATAGAAGAACCCGAAGAACCAGGCCCTGTGCACGAGTATTTCGATTGCTACCCCGAAAAATTCTGCGAGAAAAAACTCTGTTATCCATGCCATTATTATGTTAACGACGAAGCTATCAAACAGTTGGTAGAGGAGTATTTGGAATACCTCAAAAACCCTCCTCCAGAAGAGGACAAGTCTGAAGAAACTTTAACTCCTAAGACAGAAGCTGAAGAAGGGGAAGAAAAAGCTGAAGGTCAAGCAAATGCTGAAGGTGAAGGTAAACCGGATAACATTAGCCAATCCAGTAAAAAAAGCCGATCCAGTAAAACCAGCCAGTCGAGCAAAACAAGCAAAGAAGAAACCTGCAAATGCGACAGCTTTAGAAAGTACTACCTGGACAAAAAGAGAAAGGAACAAGAAGATAAAGAAATAGCGGAAGTCGTAAGGCAATGCCCTTGCAAGCAATGTCCGGAAGACAAAACCGAAGGAGAAGGTGATGAACCAAGACCTCCGAAGGTTTGCCAGGAAACCTGTGCACCCTGCGAGTTAGACGAACCGGAACCGGAACCAGAACCAGAGCCGGAACCTCCAGAACCTCCTGAATGCACTTCGCCGTGTAAGGAGCTATTGGAAGTCATGTTAAAATGTCAAGAGCAAGCTTCGCAGACTCCAGAGAAAGATGCTGAAGCTGAATCCAATGCGGAAGGAGACCCTGCTTCTGATGAGGTTAATGGAGAAGATCAAGCTCCTGTAAATGAAGGGGAAACTGTCTTAGATCAAACTGCCACCGAAGAAATCTTTCCTAAGGTGGAGAATCTTGAAGAAGTTAAGCCTGAGGAAACATCTGCCCCCGAAGAAATCTTTCCTAAGGTGGAGAATACTGAAGAAGTTAAACCTGAGGAAACATCTGCCCCCAAAGAAATCTTTCCTAAGGTGGAGTATACTGAAGAAGTTAAGCCTGAAGAAGTTAAAACTACAGAGGAGGATAAACCTGAGGAAATCTTTCCTAAGGTGGAGAATATTGAAGAAGTTAAACCTGAGGAAACATCTGCCCCTGAAGAAATCTTTCCTAAGGTGGAGAATACTGAAGAAGTTAAACCTGAGGAAACATCTGCCCCCGAAGAAATCTTTCCTAAGGTGGAAAATACTGAAGAAGTTAAACCTGAGGAAACATCTGCCCCGGAAGAAATCTTTCCTAAGGTGGAGAATGTTGAAGAAGTTCCGCCTGAAGAGGAAGAAAAGCCAAAGGTAAGTGAGGCTAAAGAGGTTGAACCTGAGAAAGCTGCTGAAGATGCCAACAAACCGTCTAAGAAATGGGATGAGGTGACTCCCGCCATTGTGTACAGAAGTCGCGGCTAAAGTGTTAATAATGTTTTAATGGTAATGTTCATGTTACTTAATTAGGACGAAAAGAAGAGTTAAAATTTAAAAGAAATCAGAAGAACAAAAAGTAAAATAGATTTTCTGCTTAGGGTGCAAACTTGCTAGCTTCAAAAGTTTTAAAGGTGTGATCATCTTCAATATTATATATTTCCTTTTTTAATAATTTGGGGGTGTAAAACAAACAACTCTAAAAAATTTGACCAACTAAAAACTTCTTTTCAAATGGTTTCTTTGAATAAAATGGTCAATTTTTTGGGGGCAGGTTAGTGTCCCAAGCTCTTTTTTAAGTGTCAAACTTTTTGGAGCAAGTTTGCATCATGAGCAGACTAAATGTATAATTCTAAAAACGCCATCTCTTATTTCAGGAAGAAGCGAAATAGCGAAAAGTACTTGTCATCAGTCATCCTCATTCCTGACATTTCATCTGAAAGAAATCATCCATAAAAACCGTACTTATTCTATGAGCATTAATGTCTGAAAGGCGACGATCGAGTATAAAAAACGACAACATTAAGGGAAAACTGCAAAAAGAAAGTAGTAAAGGAAAAATTCAAAAAAGTAGCAAGGTACGAAGCAATGAAGATGTGAATAAAACTAAGGGTGAAAAAAGGAAAAGTAAGGATGATAGCGACAATGAAACCAAAGGAGAAAGTTCTTGTACTTGGGAGGATAACTTTTGCCTTAAGGGCGTACCAGAAGCGGTCCTTGATAAATTCTTCAGTCACTTTTGTAACAACCACCAAAAAGCCATATGTATGCTGAAAGGCATAAAAGAGGAAACAACTAAAAACAAAGAAACCAACGAAGTTTTCTACCAGTATGAAAAATGCAGTGACGCTTACACCATGATACAGTTCCTTACTTTTATGTATTCGGAAAACGCTCAGTTTAAAGCTTTGATAGATGCGTTCAATGAAAACGCGAAGAAGGAGCCACCAAGCACAGACGACAAGGCATCGGGTAGCTCCCAGAAAAGCAAAGAATGTGTTAACAACACCCCTATATTGACAGATGGTAGAAGCCTTGGCTGTGACAACCCAACTTGTGGCACCATTGAACCGCCTAAAAATCCACAACAAGTCATATGCGAAAACCGGAAGTGTGATAAGAATAGAACACTACCAAAAAAATGCTGCACATACGAGTCAGATTCCTTTGAATCTCTCCAAGACACAGAGCTCAAATCAAAAGCACCGCAACCCGTTGATAAATATTTCGATTGTTTTACCGAAGCCTTCTGCTGCAAGAGCATGTGTTACCCTTGTCGTTTCAATGTAAACGATGAGAAAATCAAGGAGTACGTCAAGGAGTTTTTGGAGAGTATAAAGGATGCACCACCGGAGTGTGAAAAATCTGCAGAAGACTTGAAGAATCCTCTAACTGTCGAAAAAAAACCTGCAGATTCATCGGACACTCCTGAATCTCCTGAAGACACACCTCCACCTCCTGAAGACACAACTGAATCTCCTGAAGACACAACTGAATCTCCTGAAGACACACCTGAATCTCCTGAAGACACACCTGAAGATACACCTGCATCTGCTGAAGACACACCTACTGAAGTCACACCTGCCCCTCCTGCTGAAGCGCCCGCACCTCCTGTTAAAACTCCTGCGGTTGCCAAAACCACCTGCAAATGCGCCGCGTTCAGGCAGTTTTTCGTTGAAAAAAAGAAGAAGGAAGATTGGGACGTTAAAGTGGAAGAAGCTATAGCGTGCTGTCCGTGCCAGCAATGCCCGGAGAAAAATTATGAAGATGACGGTGGTGAACCAAAAGCGCCCAAATCTTGTCCGGAAACTTGTGCGCCCTGCGAGGAAGAATGCGAAGAAGAAGACGAAGACGAAAAACTTACGCCAAACGAAGAATTTAAACGCACTTGTGCTGCTTTAATGGATGCGATAGAAACCTGCAAAGATAGCAGTACAGATCCTAAAGACAAAGGGTGTATTCCGTGTTGCACAAAGTATAGTTTTAAAGACAAGGATTTAGACGATTTAGACAAGTGTACATAATATATAGTCAACATTTTAACACCAACGACATTCGCCATAGAAAAGTAAACAATAAAAATATCAAAAAACTAATTTTGTGTTTTACTTGTCGTTTTAAACTAGAATATAACATTTGAAAAAAGTACAATCAAATCCTTTAAATTCCTTTTATGTAGAAAAATATTAACTTTTAAAAAAATAATATCGAGATTCCAAAACCGTTTTGGTACATTTCAATTTACATTAATTTTAAAACACAATATTTTAAATCTTTAATTCTTAGTAAAGCAACAGGTAGTCATGAGTTTTGTAATGTTGGTTGCCTATACTAAGATTTGAATTATTTGAAGATATATCTTATAATATATTATAATAAACAATTTTTTGTAAAATGGAAACATTACAATATGATACTTTTACAAACTTTTTTCCTAACATTAAGTACTCTAGCTTAGTTTTTTGTTGGTATTTTGATTATATATGAAATTATTTTGGTTTAAATTTATCTTGAATGTACTAAAGTAATTGGTATACGGCAAATAGATCATATTATTATCCAAATTAAGCCCTCAAAAATTAATGCATTGCATAATTTTGCTTTTTTCTACCTTAAATTTATTAAATCGTATCAAATATCGAATTGGATTATAGTAATATTGAGCTTAATCCTCATCATCGTCGTACATCTTTTGCTGCAAATTCCAGCAAATGTCTCCTAGCAATGAATCCAACTTCTTTCCGCTATACCCATAGATATCTACTAATGCTCTAGATTTGCAGTTACTTGGTGAAATCGTTCTCCATGTTCATCAGTTCGGCAAATTTATCAGGATGAAAAAAAAAGTATTTTAAATGACATATTAACTCTAATTATTTGCAAAACGGAAAGCATTTTTTCAATGAATTGGCGCCAATTTTAGGCCCGATATGAACCAAGAACATTTTCAATGACAGCTTTAACACTGACATATGCGACAAGCTCGTCAACTTTGAGAGCATTTTTGAATGCTTGATCTTTCATTAAACGTCGTATATCAGGTCCATTTAATATTCCTGCAAAGTTAAAGTGGTAGGTATATATCATAAAATTTTGTAATGAAATATTGTGTTGGTTTTCTTGGGCGTAAAGGTACCGCAACAAAAACAAAACAAATTTACAACGACGACATAAATGTACGTCTCCTTTCTCTTTTTCTGCCACTTCCATTACCACTTCCATTTCCTGCTCTTTTTTCATTTTTGGTTCTTAAAATCACTTTCAAGTAAAAATACAATTTAAAGTTTAAATTTTAAATGTCAATAATTAATAGATGCACTTTAGTGTGCTTGAACGATAAAGTAGATAAAGGCGCCTTTATACTTTAATTCGATATTAAATTTTCATAAGACTTAATAAATAAGATTCAAGATTAAAGTTTTGGGTACTTTAGGCATGACGTGAATAAAAACCGATGACTTTGTATGGACTTCCTGTATATTTTTGACAGAAAACATCAAAAATATACTGAACATCCAAAATAGATTTAAGGCAAAATAATTTAATAAATAATCAAAATATAAACGTAAAACTTACATTTTGAGATAATTGGGCAGAGCATTTTATTACGTAATTATTTTGAATCCTAGACGTCCTGGAGCAAAACGAGTGGAATTTTTGAAATCAGCAGCCCAAAATTAGGTAATATAGGTGGGCGTACTCAATGTTTATTATCTTTTCATTTTGTATATTAATGAAGGTAAATAAATAAATAGAGTATGTTACTTTTGTATTGCACGTTTATTTGTAGATACTTGTTTCTACATATATTACATATAATAATTTAATTTAAACATCTTTACAATAAAATATGATCTCGTGCAAGGTGCTATCTATATAAATTAATTAAATACTGTCAGCATGTCTTATCTCATCGCAAATAAAAATTTACAAGTCAATCAAGTGACGAATCGGACATGCATACTTAACAACATATCGCAGATAAGGGGGTACAGTGCAAGTATATGTGAGATCACAAGACTACTTGACCAACTAAAAACTAACATCTAAAGCTACGAAGAAATAATATTAATAATATATTACACGTAATGACGACTTTATACAATATGATGCCGATGATTAGTAATCATTGATTACCGCGTAGGGCAGCACCAGTCACATAGCTGCCCAGCGCCGGACCTTTAAGAAAGAGTTGGAATTCATAGCGACGGCCCCTTCATTTTGTTGATGGCGTTGGATAAGTGCATCACCTCTGTGTTCAATTGGTGCACCAACGACTCCATTTTATCCACGGAATCCAAAACTTCAACTCTTCCAGTGTGGGGGTTGAACCTGACTTCAAACGGACGCGACATGTTGGACACCCAGCGCCTGAATTTATCCTTCATGTCTTCAAAACTCTCAGCCACGTAGTAAATGGGTTGGTACTCCTGGTCCTGGTAGGGTTGAACTGCGGTGGATGCAGGCTCGAACGGTCTCAACTCTGGTTTATCACTCAAAGCGTGCAAAAGCTCCCCATAAGCGCTCAACAGACCAGCCCCGTAAGCTTTGACAGCTCCGTTTTCCTTGCACAGCCCAAACTCAACGGTAAACCAGTACACCTATGTATAAACAATAAAGCGATTAGGTCAATGTTAAAATCTCTGTAATGCGTACACGGTCAGAATTATGCAACTGTAATACACTTCTTTGGGTTAATCATCTGATAAATCCATTGTTCCATTTTACAGCGCCTTGAGATTTGTAGTTCATTAACTGCCAAGTAAGAAACCACATTTACCTTGTAAGTATGAAAATTGTGTTTAATTACTTAAAAGCAATTAAGTCGTTATACAATTAGTTGATTATGTATAATCAATGTTCTACAATGGTTTAACATTCAAACTAAGTACAAATTAATATCCCAAGAGAGTAGGTAGTATTGGAAAACGCTTATTGTATTTAATATAAATCTGGGTCTGATTATAGTCGAATTGCATACTTACGGTGGATAATTTTTCAATTTCTTCATCGGAAGCCCCTAGGGAAGCGAGACCGATTTCTTGGGAGAATTGTGCGAAAGAAGGATCGGCTAACAAAGGCATGTGGCCCAAGAGTTCGTGAATGCAGTCTCTGTAACAGTAACAAATCCTATAAGCAAAAATCGAATTTCATTTCCCATTAAAGTTAAGCAGGCTAATTGCTCTCGTAATGACGCGGTAATTGAATCAGCTACGGCCTTTGACGCTGCAAAAGCCATTAAAATTCAACTTACGGCTCTGGGGTGTGGAATGGAGAGTTGATGTGACGCACATACTGGGTGCTCTGGAAAATGCGGAAAGCCAACGAAGCCAGAAAATCGCGAGCCGTCAAAAGTCCAGCAGCGGGTCTTAAAGTGAAGCCGGTGTGGCGGGCCATGAAGTTCGACATCTCTTCCAGCTGCGGAATACGATCCGGGACGAATATACCTTCGTCTTGCAGAACGCTGAAGACTTTTCGGTACTCAGCGCACGCGTGTTTTGGCATCAGGTCCAGAACGGTATTGAAGACTGAAGACCAAGTTTTGTTCTCGGTCTCGGTGTACTCGATGTATGGGATTGGGTCACCACTGCGATAAAATATAATATTTAGCGATTATCTTTGGGGTGGATAAAATAAGGGAAACATACTATTTGTAGGAGAAGGCGATCTCAGCGATGGTTTTACGCCTAGCACGGTACTCCTTATCAGCGAAACCAGGGTGGTTCATATCGAGATCAGGCTCATACTTGGTCATTAGGTGGTTGCAGTCGTCTAACTCACTAGCGTGTCTTGGGAACCAAGGGTTCTTAGCTGAAATGTTATCTTCGCCCACCAAAGTGGTGTGCTCTAAAGTGTTGGATTGACGGAGGGACTTGATCAGTTGCAGGAGGGACACTCTGCTCATCTCAACGTTGATCAAAGCATCCAACCCGTTGGTTTCTTTTTTGTTGGGGCGCGTCTCCAAGTGGTACACCGAGCCCTCGTATAGTTCAACGATCTTAAGAACTCGCGAGAGAGACGTCATACCGTCACGTAAACGCAAAACCAACGCCGCCTTTTGGCTAACCAGCCCGGCATCTGCATTTTCAGCGATGGCGTTTTGAAGAACCACTTCCTCTTCTGTCAATGTAATATCTGCAATAAATTTTAAACAATAATTATTGACAAGGATTCCGAAATCAATAGAGTGTGCAATTAGTCGATGCGTATCGAAAAGCAGCCTTCACGTTTACAAAAGAACTTGGCACAATTACCATGAACTTGAGTAAATTAAAAGTAATTTTGTTCTTTCGAATGCACTCTAAAAGTGTTTTAGCGCGACAAAAGAAGGGCGTAATTTCATTCGCAACTAAAGGAGCGTAAAGTCTCTCCATTTGAAGCGAAATCTTGAGAGGGTTTTATATTTTATTTAAGCCAGATAAATTCGTATAATGCGTAAAGCTTACCGTCATCTTGTGGTTGTTCGGCGGATTTATCGACTGAAATTTCTTCGTGCTCAATTTCTGGGTCAACACTGGAATCTACAAACAAACATGCGTAACAATCATGCTACTAAATCGTGCTTACATCATGCCACTTTAAAAACTAATTAGACTTACCATTGGATCTGAGACGAGCCTCATCCAGGACTGATTGTTTGGTTTGCTTTACCACCAAAGTTTCGAAACGTGCGTCATCCACCAGAGAACGACGTCTAGCTGGATATCCATTCTGAAAACACAAAAAGCCCCAAGTTAATACTATTGTCTTCCGCAGCAGGAAGCGTTAAGCGGGTCAGGAAATTGCTCCGTAAACTTTTCTCGCAGATGAAACGATGCTAAAGTTCTGAAGTTATGTAAGAACTTAATTATTGCCCACAAAAAATTTACTTCCGGGGGATTGGTGTGGTAGACCTTGCTCCAAAGGGGATACAGATCTCTTGTGTGCGACCCTTGGGCAAGGTTACGATACATTTACATATCCTGAGGCGTTTGAATTGCTTGACCATGATCTTACGGTATCAAATTATATTAATTATATTAGCATGTAACTATAAGTGACAGTAAGAAATGTCGTTATAACAAATAATGAATCAATTTTGTTGTGCAATCAATGATAAGGAGATTGAAATTGAAAAACAAGATGTGGAATTTGTTTTCAGTGAGCGTCATAATTAAACTGTAAATTAATTCAATACCTACGTCATCAATTAAAATGAATAACCCATCAATGGGTGTGATTTCCAAAACAAATCCGATACCAGCGTACAGGTAATTCTTACGAAACAAAATTAAGGAACAGTTACATTTATTAATAAAATCACCTTGATATTTCGCTACTTGCGTAATTGTATATTATCACTAATTATTGTATTCTGTGCGTTTTATTAATCGGTTTTGCAATTTAACAGTAATTAAATAATGTTTTGCGAATTTTTGTACAATTTTATTACAATACTGTGATCTTGAGATTTGAATTGATAAGCAATTAAAAGGGTAATTATTCAAAAAGTTAAGCCAAGTTATAATGCAAATTGGTAATTAAGCTGCAGTTATTAGTAATAAGATTCCAATTAGACGATTTTTCTTCTTACCTTAAGGTAATTAGTTTTATTGGAAAATTCGAAAAAAAGGTGTAAATTATACATTTTTATCAACGTTAATGATCATTTAAATATACATTGACAAGTTGTGGCTTTATGGCGCTTTAGTCACGGGCTGAAGTTAGCAAAAGGTTTTTAGTTACGGGCTGAAGTTAGTTTTAAGTTGTCAAATGTCATACAATCGTTAAAATAAAGTGCCTTTCATGTAAAATAATACTAAATGTGAAATTTTTTTTATCACAAGGAAACTATTTTATACTTGAGATTCCTAATACAAAAATATTAAATAGTTTCTTGAAGCCAATATTTTATTATTAACCAATCCGGCTCGAAGGACCATGTTTATATTAACGTTTGTACTAAACTTTTGATATCGCAGTAGAAGTTAAATATACCTAATGTCGCCCCCTTTAATTTTTTTATTTTAAGTGTAAATTGTAAAATTGATCAGTATACAGGGAAAAACAAAAAGTTTATTTTTTTTAATGGATCAACCTATATATGAATTTATTGTTAGATTCCTTGTAAAATTCTAAGCATAATTCGTATAACATGCCATATACCTAAATTCAACCGTTTCTGAAATATTTGCATTTGAGACGTTATCATCAAATATTTTTTTAAACTGTTACAAATCAAGAAGTCTCGAGATAACAAAATGTTTATTAAAAAATAATTATAGTGACATTATTCCAATATTAATAGTTAAGTGAGTAAAAATGCCGTACTAAGACAAACTATATATTTTAACTTATTATCTTAAAAATAATTTAAATATTTCAGAAATGGTTGAATTTAGGTATATGGTATGTTACATGAATTATGTTTGGAATTTTACAAGGAATCGGAAAATAAATTTATATATAGGGTGATCAATTGAATGTTTTTCTCTGTATACTGATCAATTTTTCAATTTTTTTTAAACGTAGAAAAAAGTATTTTTCAGTACCTACATAACCACACTTTTAAATTATAAGGAAAAAAAAACAAAAGATAAAATATTTTCTTAGTTTAACCATATTTTAAAGTATCAATAATTGTTAATATTAATAGAAATAATAATGCAAATGGTAAAAATTACTACAAAAATGTTCATTGGGATGATTACTTTATTTTCGTACAGATGTCGCTTTGTACGAATATTTAATTTAAATCATATTTTAGACATTATTATTATGCGTTTATTAAACTTGATACATAATACTATATAATATATACTTTACTATAATACTATTAAATTTTTTTAGACCAAATTAAGAACAATTGCTTACTCTCTAAAAATGAATTAGTCAAAAATGACTAATTTAATAGTTATTAGTGGCTGCTTTTTCACTTGTACCACAGTCTCCCAATTTTATTGTAAAATTTTCTGCTGAATCCGAAAATGTCGTCAAAAATTAAAAAAGTAGAACAGTTTTTGAGATATAGTCAAGTTTCCATTTAATATGACGGTATTTTCGGATTCAGGGGACAATTTTACATAAGAATTGGCTGGTAAATTTTGTGATACCATGGTATTTCATGGTTAACCATGGTACAAGTGAAAAAGCAGCCACTAATAACTATTAAATTAGTCATTTTGACTAATTAATTTTTAGAGAGTATATTGATATTATTATTATGATTCAAATAAAACTTTGTAATCAATTAATGATTTTAAATCAAATAAACTAATTTGCAAACATTATTATTTAAAAAATTGAGAAATTGGACTATTTTTAATATTAAATTAAATGAAGGTATTTTTATTTTGAAAAAAGGTGTTTAAAAGGCAATTTTAAAGTTTTTTCAAACTAAAAATAGTCAAAATTTTCAATTTTTTGTTTAAAATTATCCAAGGAAAAAATCTGAAATAAATTTTTTTTATTAGTGTCTCACCTCAATGCTGTATGATTTTTTGATAGCGAACATTTCGCGGTTTTTCTGTGCTGCGGCTACGGCGGCCATTGTAATTTTCTTGGGAGATTTGAACGGTGGTAACTCGTACAAAAAAGTATTAAATCAGCCTGAATAATTCACTAAAGAAATTCACTGCTGAAGTCGCGTCTCTAAGTGTTGAACTTTACTTAAATGGATTAGACCACGATTAGTGACTGTATAACCGTCTGTCTGTCGAACAAACCTCGAAACGCTTACTGAACGAGTGGTGCAAACCAAGTGTGTAACCACCTCATGCCTCACTGCAGTATATATGAGAATCCGAACCCCCTTCCACCATTGCCGTAGCGTGGGGCCCTTTCATTCTTACGAAACGCGTGCGTCACATTTGCAGCGGGATCCCCGTGCCCCAAACTGACCCCCCTTGGCCCCCCTCGTCCTCCGGCTGACAATTTGCCGCCACTGCAGACTGCAGAAGATACCTTCAGGTTCCTGGCCGATTCTAGAAATTAAAGTTTTTGTTCTCAGTGTTATACACGCATTTGGAATTTTTGGTTGTGTTTTAATTTTTTGTTGTGGGTTATAGTGTGTTTTGATTAAAAATTGTTTAATATGGGTGAGTTATATAAACACAACAACTTAACATCAAATATTTTTTAAAGATAAATTGCTGTTTTAGGTAATTTTTTTTATTTCGTTTTTGTAAATATTATATATTTCTTTCTCGGATTCCTCATCCCTTTTCTGGATTCCGAAGGTAACTAATTCCTTGGTCTGACTTCTGAAATAGTTTGTTGCAAATGTCATGTATGTTAAAAGTATTTTCCGAATTTATTAATTTTGTTGCCATTAGTTTTCATGCATTGTATTTAAATCACTGTTATTCTGCAAGATGTCCTGTGACGAAGAAATAATTCTCGTCAACAGCATTTAGCAGTCAATTCCTATAAAATATTATTCGCTGAATCCGAAAATGTCGCCAAAAGTTTTTGAAATATAATCAATTTTACATATAATATGGAATTGACTATATCTCAAAAACTGCTCAACTTTTATAGTTTTTGACGGTCTTTTCGGATTCAGGGGACAATTTTACATAAGAATTGGCTGGTAAATGCCCGGGATATAAATAGAGTATGATATTGGACATATGTCCAATAATAGAAATTTACATTTTTTACCAACCAGTAATTGGACTCTGGGCATTTTACTGTTTGTTTTCAGAATTAAAATTAAAACGCATTAAAGTGACAATGTTTAAACCATGAGGAACACATTTATACCACACACTTTTTAGAAATATTTTTTATTGTAATTTAAACACAAAAAAAAAAAATCTTACCACCAAAAAAACGTGCGAACTATTTTGTCCTATATTGTTGTGTAAGATGTTGGGATAAATTATTTAATTCTTCTATATAGTATATACATACAAATTAAGAAACGTATAATTATCGATTTGGTGTAAATTTAAAATTCTATAAAATATCTATATACAATACACAATTTTAATGTTGTCCATTTTTATTTGTTATAACTTTTTGTTTTATTTATTTTAATTAGGTATATATATATATATATATATATATATATATTAGTTTTAGTTTAGTTTTAGTTTTAGGATCCTAGTTTTTAAGTTATGTACCGGACCTATACATGTACAGGTAATTTATTACCTCCAGTAGGCGGAAATTATATTTTCTGTACACGTGTATCTGGATCTGGTTAAATAAATAAATAAATAAATAAATATATATATTTTCCTAATATTGTTATTCCAATTATGTAAAAATTTCAAAAAAATAAAAAAAAATATTATTTTTAGAGAACTATCTGACAAATATCTAACAACCATGACAAAACTAAACTAAATTATAGTTTTACCAATTTGGTTTGTTTTAAACAAACTTTTTGATATGTACATGTTTTATATTTAAAATACCAATAAATTATTAAAATAATAACAATTGCATTTTATTTACTTCTTAAAAGTTGAAATATTATCCTTCCTTATATTTAAAATGTATGTATTTTTTAACCTTGTTATAGTTACTAATAATATATGTATATTAAAAAGTTTATATTAATATTCTGTATTCAAAGTTTTGCCGTATCTATAATCCTATTATTTATTATTTTTTTCCCAAGGCTAACCACAGCATAAGAATTTTGACCTAACCAAAAAAATTAATAATTTAAACTAAGCATATAATTTATAACAAATTTTATTGAAAATTTTTAAGTAGAAACGATTTTCAAGCTTGTATATACAAATATTATTTTTCAACGACAAAAATTTATATTTTATAAAAATAAATGTATATTATGTATATAATGTATAAAAATACAAATTTTTAAACTTATCGAAAGATATCATAAAATCTAAAGATATTTTAATGCTTACAGTAAGTTTTTACTAATCATTGTAAGATGTTAAGGTAGGTATAGATAAATTATATGTATATGTAATTTTGAATAATCATTGTTTTTATAATATGCATAGGTATTCTCTGGTTATAAACTACTGTTTAAATAAAAAAGTCATGTATATTTATGTGGATAAATTATTTAAATAAGTTTTCCCACATTTTTAAATATTAAAAATAAAAGTCATTCTTTGATAATTTCAAAAACAATGATGATTTTAGTTTTTGGAAAAACATTTGTTTTCATAATGTGTGATATTTTGGCTTGAAAAGTACACAATGTTGCCTAGTTTTTAAAATCAAATGCTTAGTAACCAAAAAAACGTATTTTTTACACATTTTAAAATATTTTTTTAATAAATTTTGGATTACCCAAATGACCTAAATGGGGTGAATTTTAAAATGTTTTTCTTATGGAGCAGACAAATTTATCAAAAGGCTTCTTTTATTTTAAATTTGCATTTTCAGTATTAAGGATTTTTCAAAAAACCATTATTATTAATCTCTAAAGTTAAAGAAAACAAAACAATAAATTAATAAACAATAAAACAAAATATCTTATTAATAAATCGGAAGTGTTAATTAATTGGATTGGTTTCGTGAAGCCCCAAACACAGATTATATACACTGTTAATTAACAGGTCATTAGGTATTGGAAATAATAGTTTAATTAAATGAAAAATCCAAAGTATGGATTGTTTTTACAATGAACTGTGTATTGTTTTTTTCCACTGTAACCTAATTTTGACTCACTTAATTAGCTAATTTAATTTTTAGTTCAATTCTTACAATTTAAATGGAAAACACAAGACGCTTGAACTAATGATGGGTGAATTTATTTCTATTTTATTGATATATATTGTGTGACGCTCAATAAATTAATTTATTTAAAAGTTAATAGTCAAATTATTTAAATTGATCCTCTAGGTATACCATACTCAAAAAAAATATTTTATATATTTAGCGTTCATAATGACTTCATTTTAACACCGCTTTCGCCCCACCCAAAATTTTGATTTTTTAGGTTGGCTATTTTAAACAGCATAATATTTTGCATATTGGTTATAATATTTTTATGATTTTTCTTGTAATTACAAGACTTTTCTGGCAATAAATTTTGTCTAACTCCAAAGAAAATCCTTTTTTTCTTCTTTAACATTAACAGCCGCTTATTGTAAATAAGGAAATTAAGGACGGCATGGCGAATCGATTTTGAGATTAACCCTTCAAACCAATTACTGTGATACCAACCATCTAAAGTAAAATTCGACCAAACTAAATATAAGGTATAAAATTAATATTTTTTACTAATCATGTTAAGGTAGGTAGAGATATATTTATCTCTAGGTATACCTTTATGTAATTTTGAATAATTATTGTTTTCATAATATGCATATATTCTCTGGTTGGAAATAAAAAAAGTAATGTATGTATTTATAATTATGTGGATAAATTATTTAAATAAGTTTTTCCCCATTTTTAAATATTAAAAAATAAAAGCCATTCTTTGATAATTTCAAAAACAATGATGGTTTTAGTTTAAAAAAAAATATTTGTCAGTTTTTACTTTTTCTATTTTGAAAAAACTAAAATCTGACAAAAATGTACAAGAGTTGAGTTCGACATCTAGATTAAAAATCTATCAAAATAACTAAGCTGCTATTAAAAACAACAACTTTATTTAAAGGTAGTATCCATAAAAACATTTTATTAGTTCCTTCCTAATTTATTAATTTGACTGTGTTTCAAGGTGTAGATCAATACCTGTTACTATAAAAATATTCATGGTCATTAAATTGCTATTTTAAAATAAATTATATTACCAATTAATAGTGTACCATTTTTTGGTAAAACTTTTTTAAAATTGCATTTAAGAATTGTCATTGTAACAGTTTTTTATAGTATTTTGTCTATTTGACCATAATTTATCAATTAAATCAAATCAAATAACTAGTTTAATTTATGTTTACTAAGTTTGCATAATTGACGTAAAGCGAAATGTCAAAATTAAATATTTAATGTCAGTCAAAATAAAAGGTCAAATTCAATTTGACTTTTAAATTGACTTTATAAAAATGTATAATTTTGAAAAATAAAAACTATTGGAAACTATTAAAAAAAACATTGAATTAAAAATTCTTCAAATATTTGAGAGTTAAATAGCTATAAAAACTATAATAAATTATAGAAAAATAATTCAGATTGACTATTATCTCATGAACAAACAAAATTTTGCATTCACTCAGATTGTAAATAGTTTAGAAATAATACCAATATCTTGAGGTCGATCAAATGAGTAAGACAACCTCAAAATTCGTAATTAGTTATTGAAAAATAAAAATAATACCGAAGAAAACAAGAAAACCAAGAACATTGTATATTTTTTTATTTAATTTAATTAATACTTAGGAATGTAGGTTGTGAAAGACTATAGCGGTTTTGGATAAATTATACGGAAATTTGAATGTATGTAAATAGGAAAATACGTTAAAAAATGTTTTTGTTTACCTATTAACAATGTTATTTGATGCAATTAAAATATCATTTTAAATCATAATTTATAAAGATAAAATGCAATTTGTTTTTTTATTGTGATAATAACAATCATTTTTTGAAAAAAAAAATTGAAAAATAAACGAAAACTAACGAAAAACGATTAAAAAAATGTCAGTCCAAAATTTTCAGAAAAATTAAAATTGATAATTAACCACAGACATATTTTTTTTAAGTTAAATTTTTGTTTTAGGGAATTTTTTTATTTCGTATTTGTAAATAGCATATATTTCGTATTTGTAAATATCATATAATTCATGTATAATTCATTTGTAAGTGTAAAAGTTACACTACAAAATACACTAGGTAGCATTTAGTGCTTATTAACTTTATTAAACACATTTAAAGAATATGAACATTATTCATTGGTACATTCACACTATTTATTATTAAAATAAATCAAAAGGGTAGAAAAACTTAATGCGAGTGTTTATTACCCCTTAATGTGTTAAATAGTGACAAAATATACACTTCAGTGCATGCCAATTTCTTTGTCTGTTTTGATGTTACTAAGAGCTCTTTT